GTTCGAGAAGGCGCACCGCGAGGTTGCGACGCTGCTGCTGCAGGTCCTCGACGAGGGCCGCCTCACCGACTCGCAAGGCAAGACGGTCGACTTCCGCAACACGATCATCATCATGACGTCCAATTTGGGCGCAGAGGCAGCTCGCGTCGCTGCCGGAGGGGGCCGCCTCCTCCAAGGCGCGGCCCGAAGTGCTCAAGGCGATCGCGGACGCCTTCCCGCCCGGGTTCGTCAACCGGCTCGACGAGATTGTGGGCCCCGTAGCCGAGATTGTGAGCCCCGTAGCCGAGGTTGTGGGCCCCGTAGCCGAGACGCGGCGCGAGGGGGGGCCGAGAGGGTTCGCCGTCGAGTTCCGGCTTCGCCCCCCACTCCCCCCCTCCCCCCGGCGGCCTGCTCACCGGCGGCGCCGCGAGCAGGTCCTCTTCGAGCGGCTCACCCGCGAGCGCATCGCCGCCATCTGCGCTGTCGAGGTGCAGCTGCGGGAGCGCCTCTCTGCGCGCGGTGTCCGCCTGCGCCTCTCCCCGGACGCCCTGCTCCGGCTGGCGGAGGCCGGGTACGACCCGGCGTACGGCGCGCGGCCGGTGCGGCGCGCCATCCGCCACCACCTGCTCGACCCGCTCTCCCGGCTGCTGATCGGAGACCAGGAGGCGCAGGACGGCGCGACCGTCCTCGTCGACACGAAGGACACCGGCGCGGGCGCGGGCGGCGGCGCGGCGCAGCCCTCCATCGTGCCGCCGCTGCCGGGCGTGCCTTTCGCCACGGGGCTGTTTGGCGCCGGCGGCGCCGCCGCGGCGGTGCCGCCGAGCGACATGGCCGCCGCTGTGCGCATCCGATTGCTGGCTCCGGGTGCGCCGCTTCCGCCAGAGGACACGGGGGTCGACTGGGACGAGGGGCCGGAGTCGGCAGCGTAGCCGTAGGTGTGCCTGATACTTTATGTGTTTCAACTAAAAACATCAAAAAGGCAAAACATCCAACTGCAACTAAATCTTCATACAAACGTCGGCATGACCCGGATCTCGTAATACACCACCTTTGGCTTATTCGGCTTGCCCTCCACAGACTCCTCCTTGTACTCGCGCAGCTGGTTGGCAAGCTCCTCCGTGGAGCTCGCCTTGGCTCTGGATGGCCCCGGCTTTCCGCCGCTGCCGGACGGGGCGCCCGCTAGCACCGCTTCGGTCGAGAAACGCGAGTTGGTCTTTTGCTTTGTGGCCTTCCATGCCGCCTTTTTGTCTTCTGCTGTCACTGCAGGCGAGTCCTTCTGCTCGAGAACCTGCAGCATGGTGCACGGCGGGAAGAGCACCTCCTCCTCGCCGGCAAACTGCGAGAGCAGCGAGATGTCGGCGCCGTGGTGGAAGCCCGTGTCTCCCTCGCATGACGGGCGGAGGCTCCACAGCACGTTCGGGCCATTCTCGTCCATGTACATCAAAGGCGTCGCGCGGTTGCGGGAAGTGGACATGAAGGCGGTGTCCGTGGCACAGACCATGCCGAGCTC